CCCTGCTCGGCAGGGAGTCTGCTTCTCCCTCTCATGCTCTCTGTCTCTCATTCTCTCTCTCTCAAATAAATAAATAAAATCTTAAAAGAAAACAAAATACGTTCAAGACGAAGGTCATCCCTCCCTTCCTGATGCTTTCACTGCAGTTCACTACGGTGCGTGGCAGCCTCGACGGGATCCACGCATCTTGTATCGGGGGCCATCGGGGGCCACCGGGGGCCACCGGGCACCTCCCCCCAGCTCCCGCCTGGCTCCGCGACCTCGCGTCTGCAGCCTGAAACGGGCCCGCGGTACCTGCGCGCGTCGGGGTCAGCTGCTCCGAGGGCTTGCCCCGCTCCTCCGCGGCGTGGCTCCGCAGTCCGTGCAGCTCGGCCACAGGCAGGAAGGCCGGCTCCAGCGCCTTGGCCGCCAGCAGGTCCTTCTCGCGGGCCCGCTGCTCCCGCTGGCGCTCCAGCTCCCGCTCGCGCTCCTTCTCCCGCTCGCGCTCCAGCTCCTTCTCCCGCTCGCGCTCCTTCTCCCGCTCCCGCTCGCGCTCCTTCTCCCGCTCGCGGTCTGCTTCCCGCTCCCGCTCGCGCCTCAGCTCCTCATCCAGCTGCAGCCTGCGGGCCAGGGCACGGGGTGGGGGGGTGGAGGGGTGGGGTGTGTGACGGCGCTGCGCTGGTGCGGGGGGCCAGCCACAGGCCCCCGGCACCGCGACAGCAGACGCGCAGGCTCACCCGGAGACCCCAAGGCCCCCGGACCGAAAGCCGCACACCGACTCCCTGAGCCTCACCACACGCTCACGCCAGGAGGCCCGCGGCGACGGAGCTCGACCGAGACCAAGCTCGCAGCCGAGCACCGGCCCCTCCCCACCTCGCAGGTGAGCAGCCCGAGCACATGAGGCCTAGCCCGGCCACCCCGGCCCAGCACAGGGCTTACCTCTCGGCGCTGAGGCTGGACATCCGCTCCGAGTGCAGCGCGGCCAGGGACGAGTGGGAGAGCTCGGGGGGGTAGCGGACCCCGGAGAGGTGCAGATGCATAGCGGACGGGTGCAGTGGGGGCAGGGAGCCGGGGGTGGGGATGGGGTAGAAGGGGGACCGCAGGGCTGACAGGCAGTAGGAGTCATCCATCCTGTGCCGAGAAGACGGGGCGCAGGGAGAACCCAAGTTAAAGAAAACAAAGCCCAGGGCGCCTGGGTGGCTCAGTTGGTTGGGCGACTGCCTTCGGCTCAGGTCATGATCCTGGAGTCCCGGGATCGAGTCCCGCATCGGGCTCCCTGCTCAGCGGGGAGTCTGCTTCTCCCTCTGACCCTCCTCCCTCTCATGTGCTCTCTCTCTCTCATTCTCTCTGTCTCAAATAAAGAAAGAAAGAAAGAAAGAAAGAAAGAAAGAAAGAAAGAAAGAAAGGAAGAAAAAGAAAAGAAAACAAAGCCCAGGCCCATCCGAAGGTGTCCTCCAGCCAGGGCAGAGTGGCCGGGAGCCTCCCCAAAGGCCGTGCGGGTAGAGGCCATGGCCAGCCCCAGAGCCCGGCCAGGACCCTTCCAGGCCTGACCGGCAGGCCTCCTGTGAGCAGCAACCCGCGCTCTACGGACGCGTCGGGCTGGCATTTGGGAGGCTCCTGCACAGAGCACGGACGTGGGACACACTTCCCCTGGGGCTTCTCGGTGACGCAGAACTGGCAGCCCGTGGGGGAGGGGCAGCACGGACGACGGGGGGACTCCCACCAGGGGCAAACCCCTAATGGCGGACTCGGAAGGCTGGGGGCTGCTCTGAGACACAGAACCTGGCCCCAGGACGTGAGGGTGACTCAGCGAGGGGCCTCACCTGAAGGCCGGGTGGGGGAAGGGGTGCGGGGCCAGGTAGCTGGGGTGGTAGTAGGCGGCGGCGGCGGGGTCCAGGCCGAGGGGAGGCAGGGAGGACATGCGGAGGTCCTCCGTGGTGTGGTAGGGCCGGAAGCTCCTCAGGTAGTCCTCGGTCACGGTGCTCGGGGGCACCACGTGGTGCACAGGCCGCTGGAGGCTGCGGGTGGGGCCGGACGAGGGAAGGACAGCGGTGAGCAGAGTTCCTGCTCCAGGCTGAGCAACGGGTCATCCCCCCCCCGCACAGCCCCGCTCCCACCTCTGCCAGAACGCAGGGTTCTCCAGGGACAGGTCCTGGCTCCCACGAACGGGGGCGCAGGCGGGGTGGGAGAGCCAGCCGTCACGTCAGCATGGAAATGGAGAGCAGGCACAGACGGGGCCGCGGGCCCGGGGCTCAGCCACCATCTGGCGGCTCTCCGCCTCAGCTGGTGCAGACCCACGGCCGGGCACCACCGCCAGAGCCTCCGGGATCCAGACCCCAAGCACACGTGCCCCCCCACCTGCAAACTTACTTGAGCGGTGGGAAGCGCGAGTCCTGCACCACAGAGCTGGGGGAGATGCCGAAAGGGTAGGGGGTGCTGAGCAGGTGGGAGGGGATGGCTGGGCCCCCCGCCTTCTCCTGGGGCAGCGGGGGCTCCACGATGAGGCGCTCCCGACCACCGCTGCCGCCCCGAGAGCCAGCGTCCTGCTGGAGGGCAGAGAGCACCGGGTCAGGACCGGGGTGCGGGGCTGGGGCCTCCTCCAGACTCAGAGAGGCTCGCGTCTGGTGCGCTTTCCTTAACAGTTTCTACCCCATCCTGCGGGGCACGCAGGGGGCACGCAGGGGGCAGCCCCCCCTCCGGGAGGACACGGCTTCTCACGGCACGAGGGCTGGACTGAAACCCATCTCATTGCTGGGGCCACAAAACCAAGTGCCCGTGAGGGGACAGGGCACAGAGCAGGGGCCCCCACCTCGCACCAACACCCAAGCCCTCCCAGCGTGCCCTTCGCACAGGGCCCTGCCGGCTCCAAACCGAACTCGGGGGGTTAGATGGTGCTGTTCCAGCACCCGCGGGAAGTGCGCTCCGCTCCGCAGCAGGGAGCAACAGAGCCAGCCGGGGCCCCCCGCCTGCGGATCACCAAGCACGCACCGGCGACCCCCAGGGGCTGAAGCATCAGCTGGGCCGACAGCTGCCAGGGCGCATCACAGATCCCTCGGCCCCCTGGTGCCCACAGAGTTGCAGGCGAGAAGCTGGCGCTGCCCCCGGGCAGAAAGCGCCAGTCTAACCCCGCTGCCGACCCCCTGGGGTGCTCCTGGCACCAGCCACAGCAGGCAGCTGGGGTACCCCGACTGGTCGGACCTGTCTGTGGACACCTTTGCACACACTGGTGGTGGGCGGGGGCCCCGCCGACCCTGGGAGACCAGAGAAGAGGCTTGCTCAAGGCAGGGAGGCGGAGGAGGAGCCCCGACCGAGACCGAGGGCAGAGCCCGCCACGGCTGGCCACACGGAGGGCCCGGAGGAGTGTCTGCCCCGGGAACACACACCACCCACAGCCGCGACCCCTCTGGTCATTCACGTGGCTAAAGGGAGCTAAACAGCAAGACCCCGAGCGCGTCAATAGCAGTCGGGGGCTCCTGACGTCTTCAGAATCTTCTGGATTCTGGAGCAGGCGCCAGCCCCTGGGGGTGGGGGGGGCCTCCACCATCCTGACAGCCCTTCTCAGCCTAAGCGAGGTCACACCAGCCCAGGCCTGACCTCAGCCACGGGGCTTCTGAGGCATGGCCACGGGCTCCCCCAAGCCCCATGACCTCAGCCACGGGGCTTCTGAGGCATGGCCACGGGCTCCCCCAAGCCCCATGAGCTTCTCGACCAGGCCCTTCCTCCTGTCCTTCACCTGCCTGGACTGCCATGTCCCCCAACCCCGCTCCGGCATCCGGTCTGGCCGCTCCTGATAAACAGACACAGCAAACCAGGGCCGCAAAAAGGCAGGCGGCAGTCATGGGGGGGTCAAACTCGGCCTGTCCACCCCAAATCCGTGGTGTTTCCACTGTGTCGCAAAACACCAAGCACACCTTGAAAACAAAGGGGGCAACCACCGGACGTGTGGTGGCTGAGCCCCGTCCCCGGAGGAGATGGTCTGCTCCCTACTCCTCCACCAGGTGTTCCTGGCTCGGCCAGGTCCAAGGCTCTCTGGCGCAGGTAGGGGAGGGGAGGAGGAGACGTGCTGCGCCCCCCGACCCCCCCAGTCTCCCAGCACCAGGGCGGGGTGGGCCGTGGGAGCAGCTGAGGAGGGCCCGCCCTGGCCTTCCAGAAAACACATCCGTGATAATTAATTGAAGGAGACAGGCCGCTGGCTGGAATTTTTAATGAGCGGCAACATCTGTTCCCGCCGGCACGCTCACACGGCCCCTCTGCTCACGGCGGGGTCCTCGCGGGTCCCGAACCCTGCCCTGCCCTGAAGGGGCGTCCATGTGGCGGTATCGCGGGGACGCGCACACCAACAACCTGGGTCAGAGCGAGCCGCCCAGGACTCCCACCTCCCACTGTTCCGGAGACTTCTCTACAGGGGCCCACGCCTGGCCTCAGGTCCCGCAGATACCTAGTGTGGGCACAGCCCCGGCGCCTAGTGTGACGGGGACAGATGCACGGACATCAAGGGGAAGCAGGGTGGAGGACCAGCACGTGGCCCGCCCGCGCGAACGTCACAGGGGCCGTTTGCAGGTCAGGGCTTGCGGGGTCCTCCCACACGCCTACCACGTGGCACGCGTGCCCCACGCCACGTGCTCCGCGCCTGTGGCCCGGGACGGACTGCACAGGGCACGGCCTCTGCATAGGGAGGCTCCCCAGCTGCCCGAGCGGGACAGCGACGGTAGCCAAGGGGCTGGACGGCAGAACCCTCGGAGGAAGTCCTCGCCCCAAGGACCACATCTGGGGAGAAGCTCCAGGCACTGTGTACAAATCCCACAGCAGAGCCAAGCCTGCCACGCGGGGGGACCCGAGTGCACCGTCCCCAGAAACCCCTTGTCCCCTCAACGGGACAAAGCCCAGCTTGAAGGCGGCTGGGCCAGATGGCACCTTCCCGCCGGCAGCGGACAAACAAGGCGCTGGAGAGCCTGGGGGAGGGGCGGGCGGGCGGGCGGGGGGTTCGGCAGGCTGGACCCCGCGCCTTCCGTCTGGCTGGAGCCCCGCCAAGCTGGGGACAGGCACCTGGGAACGAGGTCGGCCCTCCTGGGGCGCTCAGAGGCTGCCCGGGCGGGGAGGGGCTGGGGCGGGCCCAGGCAGCAGCCCCCAAGCGGGGCCAGGCCACCCCGGGGGCACCCCAAGAGTGCGCCGGGCTCCCACCGCCGTCCTGGCAGACAGGCGCGCGGCAAGGAGCATCTGGGCGCAGCTTTTATTTCTGAGCGGCGGCTGCAGGCACAGCTGTACCGATGAAGGGAGGACGAGGGGGAGGACGGGAGGGAGGGAAATCCGTCATTCTCTGGTGATTAGAGAGAGGGTTCCAGTCAGGCAGGCAGGACATGCCCTGTTAGCTTGAAAATAAACCATTTTTCATTTCAGCTGTCCTTTGCAGCTCCCACTACCTGGGAAACAGGACCCTGGCGACCCCGGAGACGGACAGGGCCCACAGCCCCGCCCCCACGACACCCCACCTGGCGGGAGGCGCCCCCCCATCCCCTCCCCGCCTTCACGCCTCTTGCTGGCTCCGCTCCCCAGAAGGATTACATTCTCCACTGAGCCTTTGTGTGGAGCTGATGAGCCATACATCATCTGCTAATCCAGTTCCCGTCCCGCCGCCCTCCCTGGTGGTATTAGTGTTTCATTAAGCGCCGCAGTGGTAAACGGCTGGAGCAGATCTATCACGGCCCTTTCTCTGGGGGTGACTAAATGTTTCCGAGGCAGGCAGGACCCTCGGAGGAGTCCCATGGCGCAGGCGCTCGTGGAGGGGAATACATGGGAGGCACCCTAGTCTCGGCCAATAAGGGGGGAAGGAAGCCCCTCTGGGGCAGGGCAAAGGGGACAGGGCAGGCCCTGGTGGGTATCACCAGTCAGGGCTGAGCCAGGGACACGGCAGGCAGGACCCAGGAACACCCCCGCCAGCCCCCGGGGACCTAAGGTGAAGGCGCATCGCCAGAGGCAGCGAGCCCCCCTGGAGGCAGGAGATCCCGGTGAAGACCCTTCATCATCCCTTAAACCAGGGCTAGCTCAGGTGTCTCCCAAACCCCTCTGGCTGGAATCTGCCCGCCAGGCCCTACCCGGGCTCTCCCACCCCCAAACCACACACAGGGCAGAGCCAAGGGCCGAGACGGCAGCTTTGAGATGCACGCAGGGCCACATCCAGGAGGGTCCCAGCCTACAGCTGTTGCTAGGAATTCAGGGATCCCAGCTGGGGTCCTTGTGGATGCTCACCCTGGGTCAGGGCCTGCCCAATGGCTACCCCCTCTGTGGACAGAGACATAGGCTGTCTACCCCCATCCCCCAGGGCAAAGACAGATCCTCCGAGACGATGGGGGTGAGTGTGCGGTGGGGGTGTGTGTGGCCCTGGTGCCCACCTGCCTCTCCACTTCCACTTTTCTTGTGGTCTAATAATTAGTATTTCCGAATATTGCCGCCCCCCTGGGAACTAGGCAGAAAAACCCAGGAGGGAAACCCGGCCAGTGTTCATCCCCCTGCTGGGTACCCACAGTGGTTCCCCACCCGCCCACCCCCACACTGGGAGTCCCGGGTGTGCTGGGGAGGGGGGTCAGCCGGGGCGGGGATGAGGGAAGGCTCCCAGGGCCTTCCGCAGGGCAGCAGCCACACCAGGGAGCCCCCAAGTACGGGGCAGGGCGGTCCTGGAAGTTAAGACGGAAACAGGAAACGCTGGTCTCTCCCCTACTTGGATCCTCATTGGAGCGATAATCCCAACAGCTACCGTTTACCAAGTGCCAGGACGTGCAAACACCATTCTAAGTGCTTCACACAGGGCTACGGATGAAACAGTGTCATCCCCCCCAATTTCTCATGTCGGGGCACTGACCCCCAGGTCCTCAAAATGGGAGCACGCTGGGAGGGCCTGTGAAGAGGTCATTCAGGTCGGCCGTGATCCAACATGACCAGTGTCATCAAGAAAGGAGATCAGGAGGCAGACGCGCACAGAGGGAGGGCTGGGTGAGGACCCAGGGAGAAGGCGGCCGTCTACACACCCAGGAGAGGGGCCTCAGGGGACAGCCGCCCTGCCCACGGCGGGGGCCAGACACACAAAGGATACATCTGTCGTGAGCCCCTGGTCTGGTGCTTGGTTGTGGCCGCATGACCGGCACCCTCGGATCTTCTTCCAACACACAGATCCTCCAGGCGAGCGTGCCGTGGGGTCTCGGGCCCCAAGCGCCGCCCTCCCGTGCCCATGGCCGCACCCGCCTCCGCCCCCGTGCCCTGGCACTCACCTGCCGGCTCTCGCTCCTCCAGACGCCATTGACGGTCTTGGTTGGGGCGATCGTCACCACCGGGGGCGTGCTGGGCACACTGTGGCCCCCAGGGGGGACGATGATGGGGCCCATGGGCACGCGCTTGGGCGTGCTGGCCGGGGAGCTATGGTTGGTGGCTGGCGAGGACACGGGGGACGACTCGCTGCTCAGTGAAGACCCTGCGGGAGAAGGAAGATACAGCAGCGTGAGCGGGGGTCACACCCACCAAGGGCTCTGGCTGTCCCCAGCCGCACCCCGGCTCACCTGAGCCCCGAGCCCCAACCCAAGGGGGAAAGGAGCCGGGAGCGCACACAGGCCGGGCAGGAAGGGCGACCCCTCCATGCACCGATGGAGCCCGGAGCCCTGGCGGAGCGGACGTGCTCTCAGTGTGGGTGGGGCAAGACCCCCAGGCTCAGAACAGGGTGTGTGCTTATAGACGGAGGGGTTACAGGAGGCCCCGGCGGCCGGCGTGCTCGACGGGCCTGGCAGGGCGGGGACATGGGGAAGCGGCCACGGGAGGCTCATCTTTTTTTTTTGGATATCGACTGCAATCTATTCCTAAGTTTTTAAAATTGAGATCTAGTTTGGGCGCCTGGGTGGCTCAGTTGGTTAAGCGACTGCCTTCGGCTTAGGCCATGATCCTGGAGTCCCGGGATCGAGTCCCGCATCGGGCTCCCTGCTCGGCAGGGGATAAATAAAATCTTAAAAAAAAAAAAAAAAAAGCAACAACCCCACGTGGCCCCAAAGCAGCAGCTACACCCCAAGAGTCTTCACGGAGCCAAGCCACTTGCTGGAGCATGGCGCCCCCACACTCAGGCAGGGCGGGAACTAGAGGGAACCTTCTATCAGGTAAGACACTTTGCCTCTACCGTAGCAGGCTTCCAGGGCTCTCCCCACCTGAGGGGGGGGGGGTGCGGACACTGAACCATAGCCACCGAGTTACTCCCAAATGCAGGCTGGGAGAAAACCCCCCAGTGCCGCTGTACCTCTGATCAGCAGAGTACAAAAGGGGACCATACCAAGAAGCCACGTGTCCTTAAACAGTCAAGGAATAACACCCATCAGCAGGCTAAATACGTCATGCACCGGAGCTAAGCACCGACTGGTTTTCTAGCCGGGGACACAAGGGCCCGTCAGATGTCAGGTTCGTGCTGCTGTGAGGCCGAGTGTGCTGCCAGCCACTACGGGGGCCACGGAGGCCGGGAGAGGGCAGCTGGGGGCCCGCATGAGGCTGCTAGGTCCTGAGACAGAGGCTGCCCCTGCTGGGGACAGTGGTGCTGGGATCCTCGGGCCTTGGGCAGAGGCACACTCCCGTGGGAGTCAGAATACCCAGACTTCATCAGGAGGCGCCAAGGGGTGCTGGCTGCTCTCCCAGTGCCCGGGGCGGGGAGAGAGACGAGCAGAGACCAGCTCACAGAAGCAGCGGAATGGTCTGCAGACAGCGGCCCTCACTGCGGCCGTGGCAGGCAGTGCAGGCCGTCGGCTGGGGCAGAGCACCTCACACCAGATCGGCCAAGCCAATCCCCGCGGCTGCCCTACCCAACAGCAGACGCCACGGCTGGGCTGCGGAACAGGCCAGCAGCACCCAGGCCCCGTCGGCCAAGAGCTGAAGGTAAGAGAGGGAAGGAGCACATGGACATCGAAAAAGCCTCCGACCCAGACAGCATCCCCGACGTTAAGAGCTGGAGAGACACTCCCAAATCTTCCCACCGGCCTGCCTTGTGCACAACTGGGGAAACTGAGGCCAGCATCCCCTGTCCCTGAGACGTGGCCAGGCTCTGTGCCAGCTCTGGCTGATGAGCCCTGGAAGGCTGGATGCTGGGGTAGGGGACTCTACTAGGTGACAGCCAGACCAACAGGTGGGAGTGGGGAGGCCTGAGGGCAGCTGTTAAGTGGAGGAAGGGGCCCAACGACGGGCACAAAGGACTCCCAGGGGATCCCAGAATGGGGCTGAGAAACGAGTATTATTTATTGCAATAACAATAAACTTAATTTCTTATTTAAACAAAAATTAAATACAGTCCCCTTTTTCATTAAAAAACGTTTGGGCTCGAAAGCAGGGACATACAGAACGGGTGTAATGATCAATTAAAGCTTCTCTCGCCCCCTCCAGGCGCCACGACTGTCCCCACAGGGACACAGCCAGGCTGCGTGGGAAGGCCCTGGCTCTGGCCGGCGCCTGTCCCCAAGTGATGGGACATCACTCTGAGTGCCTCTTTTCCCGGCCTGGAGCCTCTGCTTCCTCGCAGGCCAAACAGGTCCGGGGGCGGGGGGGGGCGGGGAGCGCGCGGTAGCAAGTGAAAGCACTCAGGAGGCAGGGTAAACTGCAGGCACTCCATAAATGCTGGCTGGCTACGAGCAAATCCAAGCGTGAAGACCACCCCCCGGGGGTCCCTGGCACTCCCCGACCCCGCCGAGCCCCACCTGGCGCTCTCCGGCCTGTGCTCCGCCTCCGTGGGCACCGGGGGCCGGCCCATGTCCAGGTGCTGCTCCAGCACCTGCTGCCGAAACTCCGACACCTGGGACTGCCGGTCCTCCTTCTCCTGCCGCAGCCGCCGCTGCCGTGCCAGCCACTTTTCCTCCTCGTTGGTGCGCTGGATCAGCAGGGCTGTGGTGGCGCTGCTGCCCGGCAGCGGGAAGATGCTGTGGTTGGAGAGGAGGCTGGGCACGGCGTGGTGGGCGGTGGGCGCGGGCTGCAAGGGGTGCTGCCCGGGCTTCGGGACCTGCAGGCCCGCCTCCTTCAGCTTCTCTGTTGGGGGGGGGGGGGGGGGGAGAGGCTGTCACAGTAGCATCTCCGCACCGGGGGCCCAGCCCACGCCTGCCCACGCCTGCCCCCAGGGCCCCTACGGATGCTTTCAGGGAGCACGGCCTCCGGGGACGCTGGGTGGCCGGTGGGCACGGCTCCCGATCGGACCCGCCGGGGTGCGGCAGCTCTGGGCTCGCGCGGGCTGGCGAGAGTAGACCGAGCCCTCCAGAACCACGCGAGCCCATTGTTAACGAGCCTTGTTAAGTCTGATTACATAAGCTCGTGATAAAACAAAATACGTTTGGGCGCCTGGGTGGCTCAGTCGGTT